TTGATACATTTAAACCCAGAGTTGATACATTTAAACTCAGAGTTGATACATTTAAACATTCATACCCGGAAAATAAGTATGAATTCACTTAGGTCCCTATTAAACCAGGACCTTATTATTTCCCCAGATTTATATCGGGTGCTAAGCACTATGAATTAGTCTAACCTCGGACTTTCCCTTTAAATCAATGGATTTAGAATGATTCTAATTCCTAAGCCTAATAGGTATTCTAAAGAGAATTTTGGATTTCATCCCCCCCGCAAGCCCCACACCCAATGAAGTGTCAGCCCCAGGACATTGCCCACAAGCGCCATTAGTATCATCTGGGATTAACAACGCTGCTAATAGCGTCATGTGACTGATTCATCAAGTATCATGTGGGACCGACAACGCTGCTATTAGCGCCATGTGACTGGATCATCAACCGAGCCACAGGTTATGGGAAGTTTACTGATGGGAACAGTTATGAGAGTATAGAACATACAACAAAAAGACAGCTACTAAAAATCCATAAGCAAATATAGGGACATCTTGTCATTCACGAGGTACTATTTCGCCTTCGCTTCGTAGGTGTAATATTGCAGCTAGGCAACATTATGGTTTTACGTTCTGGTGAACTTGGAATCAACGATCCCACCTTGAAAGCATTGGCTAATGAATTCCGAAAATTTACATCAGATGAGCCATAGTTCTCTACAATATCAATAACTTTCAAAACCCGTAGCTTAATAGAGAAAGTGGGCTTAACATACGACTTCAAAAAGGAAAACCATCAAAATCCAAAAGACAGATACCTACCTTTGTCACAATGAGAGCTGACATCAGTGGCAGTAATTTACTTTTCACCTGAAAAGCACTAGTGGGAATAGAGAACAACTGTGACCTTGTTATTCTGCAACAGTATCCTGTCGGTGAATCCATTATCATCACCTCTAGAGACATTCCTATTACATATATAATGGTTAAAGCATCTTTCTTAATACATAAATTACTGTCCATAAGTATACCTGATATGATGTAGCCAATGGTGCACAGTTGCCTTACAGAAGCTTCATCATTGCCAACAAGATCAGATAGCTGGTTCAGCATATCCTTGAGAGCCTTTGCAGCTTTCATCCCTTTCTCAAGAAGCTTCTTTGTTCCCCAAAGTCCTTCGTCCTTGGCCCCAGCTTCTGCACAGCCATATTCAGCAGACCCTTTTCTTAAAATTAAGTCAGCGCGTCTTCCCATCGCTTTTCTCTTCATTTTGACCATAGACGGTATTACTCGATCTTGATTTTTTCTTGCAGCTGTTGCAATGCTTCCTGATTCTCCTCTAGTTTTTAACCAGCTTAATTACGACACCAGTATTGCATATGGAAAAAACATAATTTCTTACCTCACAGCTTCCAGATCTTCCACATCAGTAAATAATCTATCTATTAATGACCAAATTCTGACCATGTACCAATTTTCGTGATGTTGCTTCTTTAGACTTCCGGCCTCAAATTCAGGAATCCTTTAAAAAAAAAATATTAGCCAAAAAACAGGCGGACAATACTCAAAAGCTTTGCTTACATCATATCAATCGTCCTTCTTATCCAATCATGACAGTAATGCTCCGTCTTATTAAAAGGATAATACCATTTCTGGTTCTCGAAGCATGCTTTACGGAGATCCTCACTTGTGTGCTACAGTTCACACAACGTTAGAAGAAAAGAGGTTGGAACACCACATCCACATAAATCTGCCCTAAGCGCTACATACACAGTCAAATAACATCAAATAGTCAACAAGGTCCTTCGGTAAGTTATCCATTGCCACAGCATTGTAGTCTTTGATCTCTTCAAGCTCGCTCTGTGTAAAGATTCCATTTTGAATGTATGTGGCATCATAAGGGTCTATGATGAATGATAAACATGGACTGATATACATTGTTAAAACGAACTATTCCGCGAATATTCACAATGACAGCTTACTGATCATATGTGCATTGCCTGGCAAACGAGTACAGTTCGTCCTCTACGCATTTTCCAGTAGATAGTTTCCATTTCTTCTCTTCTTGCATAAGATTATATGCCTTACTAAGGACGTCAAACTCATCCACTGTAATATCATTGTCGCTTTCTTCATCTTTTGGAATCAACTCTTCAGCATCGTCAAGCCCCTAATATACTAAGATTAAAACACTCCATAAATACCGAAAGCGATTCGAAATTACAAACAAATACTTGATCCACTTCCTCTAATATTTGATCCACTTCATCTAACAAGAAGTAGCTCTTCAGTTTCCATTTCTAACTCACTTCTAAATTTAAACCCTTTGCTTACCATTTGTAACGTTCGTCACCTTTGCCTGGACTTGCAATACTAAAAGATAAACTTGTTATCAGTAACTCCTAGCTACTTCAGACAACAATCCATCTAATACGTCACCTGTATGATTTTCAGTAATGTGACCTTGCAATTCCAACAGGTCAGCGCTATGGTAATCGCATGCAATACATTCATAATGCACCTCTGCACTGTTATCCTTCACATGTACATATTTGTATCTACAAACCAATTAGACATGTTTCATGTAATGGTTATACATAAAAAAATGGGAAATATTTACTTGTCGTTAGAAAGTCTTCGAAAATTCCTTCCGCGACTTTCCTTAATTACGATGTCTACGAAGCAAATTCGTTACTTTCAAAACGTTATTCTACTCCACAGCAATTCTTCATATCTTGAGATCTAAGATGTTTTCTAAGATTACTAGGAATGTTGTATACTAACTTGCAAACATGACATTTTATTTGCAAGGTAACAGTTTGAGGTGCTGTACTAGACATAAAGCAGTTAACCTCACGTTATGCCGTGGTTGTCAAGGTGAGCGGAGTAAGACTTCTTTTCATACTAAAATACGAAAAGCTATATATTTGTAAGCACGTGATGTGAATACATGACAGTGGCATGAGTTTCCGTCTTGCTACTGATTCCACGTGATCTACCTCAAGCCTTAACATGAAGGAAGCGTGTTGGCAGAAAATAATTTTGGAAGCCGCTGGAGCCTGTGTGACCAAGCAAGCTTTCATTTTCCCCATTCATAAAACACATCAGGATGCCATCTTCCTAGCTCAAACCCAGAACTACGCGTCTTTAATTCAATTTAAGAAAAGCGAAAGATGGCGAAGCAGCAATTTCTCAATACCCATGTCCAATATGCACGTTTATTACTGCTTTCAAAAACAGTCTTCGACAACACATAAGATTGAATCACCCAGAATTAGAAGTTGGCAAGGGTCAACGCGGACATCATACGCCTAAGAATCCTGAGGTAAGAAAAGGGGTTTATTCTAAAGAAATGTACATATTAACAGAAAAGCGCTTCCAAAGGTTCTCCATGTTGGAAAGGAGATTCAAGCATCAGCGAAACTATATGGGTGCGTTATATGCCAAATCAGTTTTTACTGACTGCGGACCTAAAAGATCATTACCAACGCGAGCATACAGGTAGGATAAGAGAATCCATTTGATGACCTTCATTGCATAAATTTACGCTAACACTGGATTACATTTTTTTATCACAGTGAACATGTTGGCGTTAGCACCAAACATACAAGAAAAAGGCTTTTTACAAAACACAACGACCAGTATGCTTTATTTGGAAGACTCTCAAAAGTGAAAGTTAAAAAGTGGAAGGAATGTGGAAGACATCTTGCATGACTTTGCGCTTGCAGCGTCTATTGAGTCTTCAGCACATTCTTTCATAATCAATCCTGTGGATTCAACATGGCTGCAACTTGATGCATTCTCAAAGGATGAATTGAATGAAATTTCGACATATAGATATAATCATCTTCCAGCACTACCAAGAGATCTTATGGAGTGCATCAATGAATTCAACTTGACTGACCAACAACAAATACGAAAAACTTTATGGAAGCAGAGACCTTTTGATGCTAGCTATGACCAGAAGGAGTCGCTTGACAAAGATTGGGCACAAAATTTCATTCACAGTATATTGATGGAAATAGAGTGTCGTCAATTATCGCAAGATGATTTGGAGTCATGGTATATCTCTCACATATGAGTGCTCTTGATAGGTGCTTTGGTGAACTTGATGAAGTTAATGTTATCAGAGGAGAGTCTGCAAGCATAGCTTCTGGAATACGCAAGGAAGAAAATCGGATTGCTGCTTCTACGACTTCAATGAAGCGTCAAACGATGGGTCACCGTGCAGGCCTTGTGATACGAAAATGAAAAGTCGAGTATGCGGTGGAGAGACTGGAAAAAGCTATACTAGCGAAAATGATACAAAATTATTGTTGGAACGTCAACTGAAGATGCCAAAGATGATGAAAGACCAGTTGATACAACTTTTCAAGCTTTGCGATAATGATGAAAGTACAGTTAGAAAGCTGTCTATAGCAAGGATGTTGCATTCGATCTACACCAAATGATATTATTAATGGATTGTCCAGCAGGATATGTCTGTCGAGTTTTACCTACACCAAACTGTGAAGTACATCGCTTCTTTACGTCATAAAACTAACCTGGAAAGCGAAAGCCGTAATCCGGCAAGTTAGCAAGGACGTAGAATGTTATAATAGTAGTAATGATGGCGATAGTACATAAATTGATGTCATTACATCTAGATATCGTACACCATCACCGTCCGATGGATGCAAAGAAAAGCTTTATACCCCTTCAATGTGTTACATCCCTCACGAAAAAGCAATATGTAACCATGTACATAGAATGCTCCTACGTATCAATTGCAAGTGTCGTACCATTTATCTGTGTTAACATTATGAATATGCGTGATGTTCCCGCCCACCACCCTATGGATATTCTTTTCGCTTCCTGCACGACTAAAGAGGGTGATTGTGTATAAATAAAGGTCTTCGCGCTTTCCACGAGGCTGTAGGTGTTAGCGTCATGTGACTGGATCATAAGTATCATCAAGTATCGACAACGCTGCTATTAGCGTCATGTGACGGAATCATCAAGTATCATCAAGTATCGCCAACGCTGCTATTAGCGTCATGTGACGGGATCATCAAGTATCATCCAAGTATCGACAACTCTGCCATCTCTTGCATTCATCACAGATCCTTATGATGCAACCTATTTAGAGCAAGGAGTTTTCACAGTGGCCAAAATTGATGAGATGAAGGCCTGTAACCCTGTTGTAATGAAACCTTTACAGAAGGATCTTATCGGCTATTTGAAGCTGTTTGATGGCGTACGTGGCATATATTATAGCAGTACGATGGATTGTCGTTTGCGTTTTGTTAATGTTGTCTATTTGGTAGTCTACAACAGAACAATTACGAATGGCATGCTTGAAAGATTTGGAATGGTACCATCCTTTCAATAGGACAGAGCACTTTTATCAAGATTGGATACGGAGGACTATTGATCTGATGTACGTAATTTACTTGGATGGATTAAAGTTAAAGGTTGCGGTATTGATGGCAATATTTGTTGTAGGATTGGAGAATTCGAAGCTAGAAGTCTAAATATGCAACATTCCGAAAGCTGGTATATGGCTAGAATCTGGACGATAATTGACAGAGTATTTGCTGATGTTGAGGATCTGGAAGCAGTACGGTAGGTGACCAATTATGATATTATATAATATCAAATTGTCGTTAACAAAGGTTTATCACGAAATAGTGGGAAGTCTAGTAGTATTGCAACTGCTACAAGAAAAACCCATGGCAGAGTGATAGCGTCAATGGTAAAAATGAAAGAAAGGCGGTGGGGATAAGTTTGGGTAGGATTCCGGGTTTTAATGTATGAAGTGACTGACGTTTAGGATAGGACACATTCACACAGCCTCAGTGTGAGAATGCATATGCGGATTGGCATTCAACATAAATTCTATCAGATAGTTGACGGATTCTAATTTGAAAGTGGTTTATAAGTACAAAAGGTTTAACAACACAGTTAAATAGTGCAATTTACGGTAACTTGTACAATTCCCTGGCGCGTGAATATATACCTCAATATCAGACTATTTTACGTCGTCACAGACATTCTAAGTGACTATGCAAAGTCGTTACATAACTGATTGTCAGACACCAACGAAGAAGAGGAAAGGGAAATGTATATGATGGCAAAGTTTTCTCATAAGAGAACAAATCAGTTCAACAGGACATGAATCTCAGTGGATCGCACCAACAAGGGTACACTGCCATTTACAAAAACGCTAAGCCATTTTACAGTTCATTGTCAGACATCTGCGACTACGAAGAAGACAATATTTGCTTGAACTTGAAAGTGTGTCTTGGCTTTGTGTTCGAAGTAGTGTTCGAAGTTGCAGTGTGACTGGGTTTTGTGTTCGAAGTAGTGTTCGAAGTTGAAATGTGACTTGGTTTTGTGTTCGAAGTTGCAAGCTTGACTTGGTTTTTGTGTTCGAAGTAGTGTTCGCAGAAGTTGCAAGCGTGACTGGCTTTTGTGTTCGAAGTAGTGTTCGAAGTTGCAAGTGTGGCTTAGTTTTACGTTCAAAATTGTGCATAGAAATCGGTAGTAGGCCAGTGATTAAGTTAGGGAACAGTATTGATTTATTTGTCACCAAGTCAGAAAATAGCTTATTTCTGTCATAAAAACTCTTACATAGCATATAACCCACCCAAAAAACACTCTATTTTTTTCTTGAAATCCCTCCATCTACGCACTGTGTGAGGTCTTGCTAAGACCTGTAGTGATGATGGAAGCATAAAAGATTGAGTATAGTTATAAGAATAGGTGAGAAACAGGCGCTGTTCAGTGGTCGGTGCAGGACAGTGTTGAGAACCTAATGTTTACATACATTGCGATAAACCAT